GTTTCATTTTGATGCAATATCGCACATAAATATCGCTTCTGTTCAATGAAACACTATATACAAATGCTAAATATAGAATAAGTTAAATTAATTCCGTTTATTAATTCCTGCTGAATTCTGTGTGTATATCGCAAAATTTATCCTCCATAATTTTAGAATACATGCGCTTTAGTTTTTTTGCGTGATTATAATTTATTCACATGCATGAATGCGGTCATAATTCTTGTTTGTCCATGATCTTGATGTTCCAATAATATATATTATAACAAGCTGCTTAATAATTGTGGCTATGAAATGTACAAATTTTTCAAAATTGAGTAAAATGAAAATAATTGCAGCAATTAACAAATTAGGAAATTTTGTGTAACATTGTTACTTCAAATGTTAATTCGAATTGTTTATCTGAAGTAACATAAAATAATCTGTGTATTGAAACTCTCCCGTATGTAATATAGTAGTGGACGTGTTCGATATGAATTTTTTCTGGCAAAAATGTTTTGCTATCAAACAATTATAGTACTTTTTCCATTAAAAGCCGGAAACTTCAAAAGCTTACGTACCGGACGTCCATTATAAATGATTGATGCAGCGACGCAATGGTATATAAACTTTATTTTTATTTTTGAATAAACGAATTGAAACTTAGGAATGATGTAATTTTCAATAATTACATACGGTGATCATAGCATTTATTTCTTGAAGGTAAAAAAAAAAAAAAAATATTGCTGAATATCTTTTCTTTGTCAAAATTGTAAACAAGATCAATTAATATAAATTAATAAAGTTCGTTTCACATGTTTATTTATTATGGGAAACAAGTTTTAAATAGTGTAAAAGTTTCTCTTTGTGTAAAATTACGGTTTATGTTTTGAATTATGGAAATGTAACTTTTTTTTTTTAAAAAAAAAAAAAAAAAAATTAGCGGTGTAGGCTTGGTAACTGTAAAAGAAAATGATTCACATTAATTCAATAAGTCAAATTAAATACAATACTTTTATCACAATTGCCTATGTGAAGAAACGAAATAGCAAACTAATTGATAAGATTCCTTTAATGAACTCCTGGTTTATCCTAAAACCCTATCTCGAGTTATCTTTCAACTCACGGGAAAAATACATGATATTTATACAAGTTAAATGCTAATAATAAAATATAACTAATAAAATATAAATGATAAATATAATAATAATAAATATAAGAAATATAATAACTTTTACTAAATAACAAATATAATGAATATAAGAAATTTAAATAATAGATCAACAATGACTGACCACTTTATTATATTATTTCGTTCATAAAGAAATGTTTAAATTTATGTGAGCTTTGAATTTTTGACAGGATTATGAGTATTATTTCGTTTCATGTCGATTTAGGTAGTATATTACATCCTTAATTTGGAAGAACTTCAAGCTTTTTATGCCTATATTACATCATTATTCAGAACAAGTCTTGAAAATTCAGTTTAGCTTCCTACAATAACAAAATATATTTTCACAGTTTTAAGTCATTGGCTTCAATATTGGAAGTAATCTTGTTATTTTCTCTACTTCGAAGTTCTTCTTTAATATTATCGTATCGCTGATGTTGATATATCCATATCAAGAAAGATGGAACGTAAGGTAACATCCAAAACTTAATCCTAGAAAAGGTTAACCATACTTATAAAAGCTTCATACATTTTTATATTTCAATTTCAAATAGATCCTTTCCCATGGTCAATCCAATGATTTTTAGATTATAGTACACACCTACATCCCCATGCATCCATTATGTCTAAAATCACAGAAATTTGATTATTAACAAACCATTTTTATCGCAGTGTTCAAGTGGTCAGATATATGCAATACTCATTGACATTTGCAATATCACTATAGGCAGCATATGCTTTTCAAATCAAGAAATCTATTGATTTCATCGAAATTCATCAGTAGAGAGAAAATTATACGATCTTCTGAGATTGTAGTTGGCAAACGTGTGTTGTTGTAGATTTACGAGAACCAGTCTGTTTTTCCGTTAGCAAAGGATCCAAACTAATACGAGAAATGTTACGAATACTGGATCAAAATATCGATTAACATAGTTATATTAAGAAAAACAAAGTTTATAAAGATGGATATGCTTATCACCTTGATAAAATCCGGATAACCTAAATTCTTGAACCCAATTATGATGCAACTGGGCAGTTTCATCTTCCAAAATTATAATCGGTTTTTTTTAGACATCTTTCTCATGAAGCATGCTAAAAACTCCTTTTTGTTAAAGTATTAGATAATGGTAACAAGGACATAGTGTATTATTTTCAGACGTTAGGTATTTGTTAATTATCGGCAATAAGGTCCAACTGGACATAGTTCTAATAATTAAATGTTTCATTTCGTGAACAACTGTTCCTATGACCATATTAATAAATTTTCAGGAGGAACTACGGACCAGAAAATGTTGTTATTGATAAAATTCGGTGGACTACATTTCTACTAAGGCATTTGTTTAAAAACACTACTCAAATTGAGTAGTGATGACATTCAACCAAGTGGTATAATTAAATTCAACCATTTGAAAAAGCTTCTTTAAATGTAATTTGTATAATTTGAACACTTTTCCGTCCATCAGCAGGTTGTACTCGATCAGCTGAATGATAGACCATGATTCCCTCAAAAAAGGTTTAAATATGAGGTTCTCTATTATTAAGTCATTAATAACATTATTATAACAGTAATAAATGACCTACCTTATTCCAATAAGGTCCAACAAAAAAGTTCTGGTTAAAGCTTGAAAAGCAGCTATAAAGGCTTGAACATCGGTTTACTAGAAATAAAAATCTTCAATGGAGGAATGGTCTGATATGGTAACTATCATTTTCAGCGGGTTTATCGAAAGAAATTTGTTGATAAGTACGAATAAAAACAGCTTCCTTGTCGACTCACTAAATATGGCCGGGCCTTTAATTGTATCAGACACCAAATAATCAAGCGACTACGGCGTTCCATGGATACAGGGTTATCAAAAAAAAGATTGTTTAATTTTCATGCCTATCAGCTGATTATTTCATTTACCATAAAAGACTTTAGCCGTTTTAAAATATTCGTTAACCAGTGTATTAACCGACTTAGAAACATCTTGATTCATGTAATTAATTTTTTTTAAAAAAACAAAATTTTCGGTCTACTTTGTGTTCACACGCACATGAAAATTCTGAATACTTTATTGAAAAATAAATTACAATATAAAAATCAGTAATTATTTTAATTATTTCTTGATAAAAATGATCAAATAGTAATTCTTCCATAATTTCCGATATATTTATCAAACGTTTCCTAAATAAGTCCCTTATTTTTTATTTAAAATATGTAATTTAAATTTGTATTTCAACTTACATGGTGCTTTTAATCCAGAATTTTAATGTATTGAGAAAATCTCATCGATGATGTTATTAAATACTTTTTTAAGGGTTTTGATATAGTTGATTATGATACAAATTGGTAAGCAAATTTATTTACCAACCGAAAGTCCTTTGAACTAAAACAGGTTAATAATGAGATGTTATGATTAAGTACCGAAACAGGAGTTTATTGAATCCTTTATTTAATTTATTTTATTTTTTTTTTTTTTTACAGAAATTGGACAAGAAATGATTTTCAGTCGTTGGTTACCATTCATGAATATTCATGTCATGTATAATGCCTGATGATTTTTTCTAATAAGAACAGCAGATTGCTCATGATTTCTTATGATTCAACCGAAAGACGTTTTATTTACAATTATTGTCGACCATTTACGAAATAATTCATTGTATACATCAATTTCTTATAAATATGTTATTTTTTGAACTTTCGGTTTATTTACTCCACATTTTAATAAAATTTATTATTCTACGAGATCAAGAGAGGATATACCAGTACATATCTTTTGTAAAAATTTATTATATATAGTTTATATTTTTTTTTAAAAAAATTCTTGGATGATCGACATCAGTTCGATATCAATATCAACATCAAATTATATTTATGCAAATTGATAACAACTTAATATATGAGCTTTATAATTACCTTATTATTATTTTGAAAATACTCATTTTATTTTATCATAATTCAATACTCCGTTCAAATTATATACCGAATAAAACTCTTGTTAAAAACATTTGCAAAATCATAAATATCCTTTACAAATAATCTAATAAATATAAGGAAATCAATTAGTTAATATTATTAATAATTGATCAATGAAAATTAACTAATAAGCTTATATATAGCAAGAATAAATAGTAATAGTAATAAAACTAAACCAAGCATAATGCTATAATAAAGGTTAATAGATTTATTGAATTAATTTCAGTTATTTTAGTAATTATAATTCATTTATTTTAGTTTATTTTCTTATAATGCTTTTAAATAATAATATATTAAAAGTTTTACAAAGCATACAGAAAAATTAGATAATATTTATTATAATACTTATTATATTTTAAAAAAAAAATAAAATTCATTAGTTTTAAATTACTAGTAAAAAACTTTGCATATACTATATTGTTTAAATTTCTACCATATTATAATGAGAGAAATTAGATTATATCTAACCTTAAATTAATTATATAAGCTCTTTGCAATAGAAAGAGCAGAAACTACCAAAAAAATTTTTTTTAAATTAAATTAATATTTTTTATTTTAGTTTTTATTTTGTCTTTGTATTTAATGAAGTATTTTCAAACAATTTTTTTTCATTTTTTGTGAAGTGTCTTTATTAAAAAAAATCTGAAAAAAAATTATTCAACAAACTTCTTGATAGATTTATGACTTAAATAAAAAAAAGAAAAAGCTTTTTCTAATATTCAGTATATCAAAGTTATTAATAATTGATTGAAAAAAAGCTAACTTCTAAAGAAATAATACATTATAATAATTGGTATTCTATAAATATAATAAAATTAATTATAATAAATAATTATAATAAATAATACTTATAACTAATTACAATAATAATAAATTCATATATTTTTGAAAAGAGAATATAAAAATTTAATTAAAATAAATAATAATGTCTAATAAATCATCTAATTATAATAATAATTATGAAATTATTTATAAGGTGAGCAAATAAAAGCTCATTCAATATTGAAAATAATGATCTTTGTTACTTAATTTGAAGTTTAATTCTATAAGATACAAATTTTCATATTCTATTTCTTTTTATAATTTTACTAATTTTATTTGAGAACTCCTTTGATCTAGGTAGAAACAGGATAAAACTCTTTTTAATTTTCATGATTTCTCTTTCGTAAAAAGATTCTTCATTTCTAAACTAGTAAATTAACCATTCAATTTTAGTGTATAGATCTTTTGTAATATTAGATTATTCTTTACAGGTTAATAACAAGTTGAATATTTTAAAAATATTAACTTTAATAGATTTTTCAAAATATAAAATACTGAACTTTTTTTATATATAGAAGTGTTTCTAGGAAAATCAGGTTCTGAGAAATTTTTGACTAAAATTAAAAGCTTAATACATTTTAATCTAATAACATCAAAAACTAAAATGCAATAAAATTTTCAATTTTGCTAAAAAATTCCCAGAATCTGATTTTCTTAGCAATCAACCCACATGATACTTGTAAAAGTAAGAGTAATCATTTTTGTGCTTTTGCTTTAAATATAAATAACTGCTAAAGATGTTTCAAGTTAGTTATAAAAAAAAAATTCGAATTTTGACCTAAAAATAATAATAAAAAAAAAGGTACTTTAATATTATATTAATTATGTATTAAGTAATTATTACTAAAAAAAAATTAATATTTTAAGCTCAAGTTAGTAAGAAAAAAAAATTGCATATTTCATTCAAGCTTTTAAGCTCTTCTTTTTTAGTTTTGATAAAGATATTTATTTGTTTTACATCTTTATTATTTCTTTTTAGTATTTATTAAAATAATTTTTTATCAAATTTTAGCGTAATTCTAATTTATAAACCTTAAATTTTTTTTTAAATTGTATATTTTATCACTTTTTCAATTTTTTTCTATCTGCATTAATACTATTATGTAATTTTAAACCCAGTTTTTACAAAAATGAATTTAGTAATATTATATATTTTTTTATTTATATAGGTTTGATCAGATCTTTCTCTTAAGCTAAAAACCTTTGAATAGAATCATTTGATTCATTACTACAGTGAAGGTAAGCTGATTAAAAATTTTTTTTATTTATTTAATATTTTTTTAAATGTTTTTTTAGTTTTTTTTTTTAGGTTCAATTGGATCTTCCACTTGAACTAAGAACTAGATGGAATCTTCAAAATAGAACTGACCAGTTCATTACTATGATGAAGATAAACTGACTAATTTTTTTGACATATATTTTTTTTCTTATTTTAGTTATTATTTTGCTTTTTTTTAGGTTTGATCAGTTGCTAAGAATTGGATAGAACCTTCAAACAAAACTAACTGGCTCACTATTGTGACTAAGATGAGCTGACTAATTTTTTGATTTATTATTTTATTTTATTTTCTTATTTTGTAATTAATTTGATTGCTAATTTTATTTTTTTTTTCTTATTTATTTGATTTAGGCAGTTTTAGATTAGATTAATATCAAATTATCCTTTAGCTAAAATTATCAGATGAAACAGGATTTTCATTATCATAATATATGTTTTTGATGAATTTATTTATTTATTTTAAATTAGTAATCGTAATCATTCAGTTTTAACTTTTTTTTTAAAAAAAAATCATTTATAAACAACTTTTATTTCTATCAATATTGATATTAAAATTGAAATTGAAATTAATATTAATATTAAATATCAATATAAATAAAAATGGCTTTCGTAGTTCTTGCATAAAGCTAACCAAATTTATACTTATTTCTTCTTTTTTGGGAATTCTACTATATAAAGTAGAATCATCTGATACCAATATCTATATAGTATAAATTATATATAATGTTAAAAAATAAATATTTTTGATAATTAAAAATAGAAATATTTAAAAATTTCATAGATTAGTTTTAAATAATAAAGTCATCACTAAGGTAACTAAATGAAATCTAGAGGTTTTGCAAGTCATCTAAATAAAAAAAGATAAAATTTAATAAAATTATATTAAAATCTTATTAAAAAATCTGCAAAATTTTAGAAAAAATAAAACTATATCAAAGCTTAAAATGCAAAACTATATCAAAACTTTTATAAAATATTAGTAAAACTATAATTTAAACATTTTGTCAAATTCAAAATAAGTTTATATAAGCAACCTTAGTCATTACTAATTATACCAAATCTATTAATACTGAAAATTTATTATATTGAATCAAAATCTTCAGACCTTTTTATAATTAATTATATTAAATATAATAAATTTCTATAATAAAATACTATATATCACATCTAAACTCAATTTAACCAGTCCACTTATATTAATTATATATTTTAGATACTAAATAGTCATATAATTAAATGATAATTTAGATTATATTTATAATACTTGTCAGAATAATTATTTAATATTTAATAAAATAGTAAAATAGTTTTGTATAAATAAAATAATTAGTTTTTACTCTAATAAAATAACTTTATAGAAAATTCTAATTCAATTTAATATTATAAAAATATTTTAAAAAGGAAATTTATATTATATAAATTATAATTCTAACTTTTGCTATATATTTAACCTGAATTATTAATATTATATATAATAAATATATTCTATACTAAATAAAATCTTCTGAAATAATTAATTTATTATATTTAGTAGTAACTATATTATAAAATATGATCTAATTTTAGTTTTTTAAACTATAGGATAGCAGTTTAATATTAATTAAAATTGTAATCCTAGAAATATAATTAATATTAAATAAAAATTTTAAAGAATATTATAATTATTTAATAATGAAGATTTGTTTTTCTTACATAATAAAATATTATTTAACTAAAATATTTTAAAAAAAAATGATATTTTATTATTCTAATTAAATGAATTCTTAATTATTTAATTAAATGATACTTTATCATTTTAAAATATAGTAAAAAATATTATTAATAAATAAATATAAAAATAATACTGAATATTATTAATTATAATATTTTCAATATTTTTAATAAGATTATTATTTAAAATAAATATTAAATAAGAATTTTTAATATATTTAACTAATTTAATCTTTATTTAAGATATTTTACAATTGTTTTTAATAAATATTAAATTGGTTATAATTATGATATAACTTTTTATTATTAATCTATACTTAATCTATTAAATTTATAATAATATGATTTAATATAAAAAGTAACATTTAATAATTAACTTTTAGATAGTTAAATTCTGATATTATTATCTTAATTTTAACTATAATATAATTAATTTTAAATTTTGTGTATAAGAATTATTATTAATATATAATCATTTCTCTTATTTTTATAATAATGAAATTATAAATACTGAATTATTTCAAATAATGATATTTAATTTTAAGGATTTTTATAATAGTAACATATAATAAAATAAATATGATAAAAATATTTTATTAATAAAATAATAATTAACACTATATATAATTCATACCAGATAAATGTTAGTGTCAAGTGATTCTACTTTATATAATAAAAGCTATGGCCATTCTCAGAAAGAAAGGATTAGGTATAAATTTGGTTAGCTTCATATAAGAACTATGAAAGCCATTTTTATTTATATTGATATTCAATATTGATATCAATATCAATTTCAATATCAATTTCAATTTCAATATCAATATCAATATTAATAGGAACAATGGTTGTTTATAT